GACCATAGGCGGCCGTAGTACGTGTTTTGGCGGGCGCAGACTCGGTGTTCGTGGGAGGCTGGTGTACAGGAGGCAGACTCCAGACACACAACACACTGCATACCTCATGTCCTTGTCCGCATGGTCTGGTATACTTCATCTCTTCTACATCTTAAATCCGTCTGCGCACTGCGGGTCTCGGCTGGGGGGAGAACACATTGGGCTCTCCCCCCCTTCTCGCCAACCCACTAAATTCCAGCGCAGACTGCAGAGTTCTCTGCGCCTCGAAGTTCTGTGGGCCCGAGAGCGATATGCCATGTCCGCCTTGCGTTGTTTCATAACATCGAAGGCTAAGCTCAAAGAACAATGTACTCGACACTGCAGAAAACGGGGCGCGGACCAGCTGCTTCCCCCATATGGCGCTTGCGCCGCGCAGCGTGGGCGCGGCATCCGTGACGGATGCGGGCCGTTGTCTCGCGGGATCGCTGGGAGCCGCTCGGCTCTCCACGCGCCGCCGAGCTGCGATGGCGCCAGGACCGCAACGGCTGCCCCTCCTCGGCTCCCGCCCCGGGGCTGCCGAAATAGGCGCCCAGAGCCACCGTTTGCAACATCCGCGCGGAACGACGGTGGTGCCGACGCCCCCCCGACCGGCAAACACCACCAGAAGGGCGGTGGTGATCGCTCCCGGTCAGAAATGTCGTCAGAAAATCCTCAATCACGCTTTTCGGCGCGGAGGTGCTGGCAGGATTCCAGGCCCCTCCCCTCAGGCCAGTGGGTCTGGACTTTGCATCCAAAGCAGGCGCGATGCCTCGTCGTCCTCATCGTTTGCGGCCACCACTCCTGCCTCAAACGGGCCAAACGACTGTCTCGCCATCACCCATCTCGCCTCTCGCGGTCGCGTCACGCCTTCCCTCGTGCCGCGAGTAGGCGCGTGAGTGATGGCCCTGCCGCCAGGTACACGGCTACACCTCGGGACGCCGTGATGAGACGGATAGAGCCGCCCCGCGGGAGCAAAAGCCGCCTTGCGCGCCTCAGCCCGCCGGGCCCCTCGGCGGCAAGTGTGTTGATACGGCGGTGATACACCCCCCCGCTGACAGCAGCGCCTCGCGGTGTGGGCTGCGAGGTCACTCGAGGTGGCCCAGGGGGCGGCGGGGGAGCACTCTCCCGCCGGAGCAGCGGGTGATATTCCCGCTACTCGCTCGAGTTTGAGGTGCGCCGCGCCTCGCGCTGTGCTGCCTTCCCGGCTGCCCCAGCCGCCCTCACCGTC